TTTCCAGAGTTGGATGGGTGAGGAAAATGGTGGCCCTTGCCTCCCATTCACCTTGAGCCCCTATGGCCTGAAACGGGGACCGACCTACCTAACATGTTGTTTTTAGTGTGTTTCTCAGTAATTCCTTGAATGCTTTCATTTTTTTATACAGTACATATCATTTCCAAACATGTCCCTTTGGTTTCATTGCTTCTGCAAGCAATTATAACATCAGTAATTTGTATTATTTTCTTTTTATATATATATATTTATTATACTGTATAATTCTTATTTGCAGTGTAATGAGAAAAACAACACTTGCAGTTTTGTAGTTTTTATTTAGGTCATCCAAACAGAATGACAGATTGGCAGTTCAAAGGTTGAATTCTCAGCTACCACACAGAGAAGTCTGGGTTTCATTACAATAAATGTGTACGTATAACAAATACACTACCTTTTTTGTTTAGACATACAGATGCAGCCATTCAAAATGCACGGTACAAACCCGTACCACACGCAACTATCCACAAGCCACTGCGGTGTACTGCGGTACGTGATTGGCTGGCCAAAATGACCGACAGGGGCACTCGTGGTGCATTGGTTGATAGTGAAAAGATTTAATCATTTAATCTCTTTATTGTGCAGGTTTTAATCCGCTTAGTATTGATTATTTATATGGAATTTTACAACTAAAGGGAATTTTAGTAGCTGAGCATAAAAAGAAGAGGAGCATAATGCGTCTGATGATCATAAACCATATTAATTATATCAATATAATTATATTAATATAATATAATTATATCTTTATTAATTTGTTTAGATACGCAATTCCATATTATATCCCCTATTAATTAATTAATAAATTCAAAAAGTATGCGTTCGTTTACTGTGATAATGAGCATATTCCCAGAAAAGGTTAAAACATAATCACTTATCACAAAGTATATAAACTTAATATGGTCATATATATATATAACTTAATATGGTCACAAGAGACATACATTCAGTATACCATCCATTTATACCATTTCATTACTGAGCTTTGATTACAACTTATACACTAGATACTCAAAAGTGAGTACGTCACTCATAGGAATTAAAGTGACATCAACTGGGGTTGAGGTAACAATTGAATTCTCGAGCTGTAATGTAGAATGTTGAATACTCATCCAATTTATGTAGATTCAGATCTCCCGCGGACACAAAGGAACAGCAACAGACTGTTGCTGCATCCAATTGACGTCCTCTGGCCCGGTCCCAGGCAGTCCTGGTGCGGATGGAGGTATGGGAGAACGAGGGAGAGATTCCTGCTGTGGTGCACTTGCAGTGACTCTCTGAAGACTGGTTAGTTAGTCCTGGCTGAACTAGCAGAGTTAGGGTTAGGTCCAAGCAAGCCGTACTCTTTAGACAGGAAGAAGGCCGGTTCATTCTCAATGTAGCACTACTCCTGAATACAGCTGTCAACAGTTCCGACCATAGTTCACTTGTTGATCAGGCGAGCGTTCGTGGTGGGTTACCGGCGGTTCACAAGGCGTGGTGCTGGGCTAACCCCAGGCGGGTCCTTTGGTTACGCGTGGGCGACCTCCGGTATCGCCACTTAATACAAAGTAAAGTCCTGGCACTCAGACGTACTGCCCATCACGTGATTGTCCGAGCTGAGTCTGAGAACGTCCTGTAGGGGCACCTTCTGGGCCCTGTGCTGCCTCTTTTATCTGGAGGAACTATGGTCGTTCTTTGGTTGAAAGTTTCACAGGCGTTCGAGACCCACGTGGGGTTACTCTGCCCTACCAGATCCTGATTGGCAGATCAAGGTGGAGTATGAGTAACAATGCTCTCTGACCTTAGGGTTGTAAGCCTTGGGATGAGACTCTCCCTTGGAATCTCCCAGACAGTAAGGCGCCAGAAAATATGAAAATATTTAGAAAATATGAAAGTTTGAATATGGATTCAGAGATAATTTAGAATTAGTTCTCTAGTGTATACAGTATTCTGAAATTGATCTGAATCCTCCAGAGTCTCTACAGAGTAGTAGCCCAATGTTTATTGTTAGAAACAGGATGCCAGGGAGTAAGAAGCAACAGTAAGTCTCGGACGAGACAGGTAACAAGTATCTTCCAGTACAGAGAAGACTGGCTGTGGAAAGGTTGCTGAGGGTGGTCAAGGGAGCCGTGAACAAGAAGGTTACGCAGATTAGGTGGTCGGCTATATGAGGTGATGTGGCGGTCAGAAAAGAGGGCCCCAATGGAGGGATCATCCTGTAGGATGGAAAAGTTGTCGTTAATAGTCCTGGGGATAGGAAGTGTGTTGGGGTGGTAGGGAAGCACCAAAGGAATGCAATTATTACGGTGGGAGTGAAGGTTACAAATTTAGGCATTTGTCTGTTCCAACTCTATAGAGGACTGAATTCCTCCACATGCGAAGAGGAGCCGAAGATCTTTTGGGAACAAATATCTCTGTTTTCTGGGATTGAGCAGCTTTCTCTGAAAGAGGGCCACTTGCATATAGATAGATATATAACACTTTATTAATCCCGTAGGGAAATTGATGTGTTAAATTGATATCTTAGGAGGGTTAAACAATATCATTGTCACTCCACAAATTGGGCTTGGAACTTTCATTTAAAATAGTTGTAGAAGTATGAAACAAGAAAACCAGATACGTTTTGAGGATGATCTCTGGCATTTTTAAAGAAATAGCTGGATAAGATTCTTCTAGTCAATTAGCTGCTGAAAATCAAACATTACAGATGGGCAAATGTAATCATTCCTATTCTTAAAACTGTTTTGTATGAGTAAATATTAAGTTGCATGTTACATACTCCGAGGGACAAAAGTAGGAAAAGTGAGAGAGAAAACTTTCGTAGGCGAACGTTGTCCAAGTTGTGAGGCTAAAGCGAGGTCGGAGATCAGAAGCAGTAGGTCAGAAATCCAGGGGGTCACAAGAACAAACGATAAGTCAGGGAAAATCTAGATACGCTGCTCAGGCTAAGGAAACCTCAATAGTGAGTGAGGACAAGTTGCAGAGTGGAAGTTTAAATAGACAAAGTGCGTGAAGTTAATTATTAGTATTTTCATGTTAGGTTGTGAATTTCTGTTTTTTGGAAAGAGATATCTTTAATGCAAGTAAAAAAAAGCTTACTAAACTGAGTACCAGGTTTATTTATTAAGTATTTTTATGTAGGAGTTTATAAATGCAAATTGTGGCATCTATAAAATCCAGATTTATTGCTATCTGTTACTAGACATGCTCAAAAGAAAGCCTTAAGAAAACACAATATAATTAAAAATAAAATTTTGATTGACATGCAAAAATAAACTTATTAAGAAAAACATAACATTTTAATTAATTCTTCAATTTTCCTGCCCACAGTACTTTGTATTTTGAAACGTAACACTATTTTATTTTATTTTATTCTTTTTTTATGAGGCAAAGATAGCCAGGTTTCTTGCTGTAGGGGAATTTGTAATTAGAAATATCTATTTAGTGATGTTTAGTATGATAGTTAAGAATTAGGCCTATTTGTTCTTGTACCATATTTTCTGCACAACAGACTAATGTTTGAGTGGCAGTTGGTAATAAAAACAAGACCTGAAAACACAGAGCTCCTGCAATGTACTGAGAAATGTAATTAAGTAGCCATCAGCAATCTTTTCCACAGCTTACATTTTTTAATAAACAGTATCTTGAATGGAAGCACTTGTGTGTGGCAACTCCTAATTTTGTATAGAAGATTTTTCTTTTTTTTGGATTATAAAAAAACAGTGGTGATGTTCATGGAAAGAATATTCAATGAATTTCATCATGGTTTAGTTTCATCTGTCAATATCCAATATCCCTGGCATCTTGGTAGTCAGTGCCCATACATGCATCACAGAAACTGTCTAAACCAGGAATTCTAATCATGTGTCGCTCATACAGTATATCAATGTTTAAATCACTGCTTTTGAGAGACTTGAACTCTTAAACATTGCTTAAAGTGGAGGTTGTGTGAATGACAGACATGCTTGTTTTTGGTATTGCATGTTTTTGTTTAAGGGGGAGAATATGTGAGGGTTTAGCTTTCAAAATAGCTTTATTAACCGATACTCTACTGTCTGATTTAAATCAACAAATTTTTCTTTAAATAAAGTGTGTTCACTATTGATTGTTTTCATTTTGTTTAAATAAATGTGAAATTATGTGCCATAAAATGAGTGAGTCGTTTTTTAAAGATGTGTTTGAACACTTTTATTCTACGTTTAGCTGTTTATTAGGTTTGACAGGCTTTAAACTTCACATTGACAATTTTGGGGATCTATTAAAGAGGTGATTGATTGTCTACCCAACAACAGGCAAATTATAATTTGTCTAGGGGGGAGCCCCAGACACATGTGATTAATGAAAAGTCTACAGTGTATTTATACCAGAACTCTTGTTTTTCAGAGGAGCATCTGAAAAGGTGTATTCTTTTGTGTGTTACATAATGCATTAGGAATTTAATGTATGTTAATGTGGGTGGGTGGGTAATGGTGGGTGTTATTTTGTAAAGATGTTAGCATAAGTGTAGTAATAACTGTTTAAACAAGATAAGGGCAGACTGGCCCAACTCAATGCCTTGATAAGAAATCAGCTTAAGCAGGTCTTTTTAATATCGATGTTGCAAATATAATAACATAGTGTTTAGTTACCATAGAAGTAATAAATGATTTAACATTTGTTTAGATAAAACATATTAAAATGTCTTGTATGTTTTTTAATTAGATAATATGTGTGCCTCTAATCTGTCTGTAGATTTCTTGATAGAAAACAAAAACATTAACCAAGGCATGGTATCATTATGTAAATATTAAGTATTAATTAGTTCAATCAATATTATTAGTTATTGATCATCTTAATATGTCTGTCACTTAACATGAGAAAAAAGCATTCAGATTAGTATTGACAACAACAAAAAACAAGTTCTATTTGCATCACAAACAAAATTTAAGAAACATCTTATTTTCTACTTCCTTTGACTTGTCATCCCTTTACCTTTGTCTTAGGTTAAACAGCTTTGAAGTTCTTGCCTTAGATGGAGTAAGCTCTGGTGTTCTTCAGTTTTGCACAGCATCAGAAACCACAGACTGGCTGCGATCAATATCAACCAATGTCAATGATTTGACACTTCAAAATGTACGTACTGTATACATACCGAGTATAATGGAATTACTGTATAAGAGACATTTTTCACCTTTTCAGTGAAGCCTGCAATTCCTAGAACTCTAGATCATTTAATGCTTAGCACCACTTATTTTAGCTCTTCAAGAAATCTCAAACCATACAAAGTATTGTAGCTTGGAGCTGAGGAGGGGCAAAATACACAGGAGTAGTCCTCTTCATATTTTTTTAATGACATCATTTAAATATAATAAACCCATTAGTAGAGGTCCTATAGACATACAGTGTAGTATTCTCAACATTCTGTAATCTGTATTGGTTGGGTTGCTTTCTTTTATGTTATTAAAACATGTCTTTGAAAGATGGAAGCAAAGAAGAATACCCAGTGAAGAAAACAAACATGGCTAGATCATAAAAAAACTCCACAATGCTACACAAGTTAGTCCAATAATTATTAATTTAAACTTTAACAATTAAAATAAACTCACACTGATTCATTTCATCATTTAATCCATTCATGAGAGATTTATGAGAGATTTATGTGTAGAATTCCATATTCTCTCCCTAATAGGTCCTGATATTGTGGTATTTTTCTATGAAACTGATAATGCATTACTATATAATGATAAAGGTGCTGTGAGTGTGTCACAAATACCAGTAATTATGCATACAGTATGTATGTAAACCTGAAATAAACACATCAAGTTCATAACAGACTATAATACTTTATTTCCCTGAGCCTGAAAGCATGCTTTATAAAACAATTTTTTATAGGTGTAAATATAATTATCCAAAAAAACTCAAATTTAAAATACAGCTGAAAGAAACATTCCTATAATTTCCTTTTGTGTTGATTTATTATTAAATGTAGTTTTCACAATTAAAGTAAAATCTAATTTTTCCTCTAAATCAGTGTATACTTATGGAATATATTGTTTAGCAAGCTGTGTTTATATTAGTGGCCCAGCTTACAAAGGAATCGGATTTTGTCAGAAAACAACTCCACACCATATAGGGAAACTGTTCATGCTGCCAAAAACATGTCTGTAGAATTTTGATAACAGACCATCTCTAAGCAAATTCCATAGTACTTATGTTTACTTTATGTCATTATCCTTTTGCTCTAGAATGACCTTCTTCTAATTCACAACCTAATGAAAAATAAAATGTCTTTGTCAAACTTAATTAAAGGATAATAACCTTCTTCACCGTATTCCATTTTGAAATCCCACTAAACAGCATTTTTCATTATGCGCCCTCATATTTAGTATGCAGGCGATGGAAAGATATTGTTTACTGAAAATGTAAGAAAGCATTGGTTCACAAAGCACCCTTTACAAGGGGATTTTTTTTTACTTCTGTCATTTGCTACTTTCATTATCATCTTAATTTTATACATTGATTTAGAATTTCAGTGTGTACTCTATTAGCAGTGTGAAACTATTTCTATGACACTATGAGATGTTCACCATTCTGATGTCAATTGCTTCACAATTGCACCCAGTATCAAAAAGGCATTTGTTCCTGTTGTCCTACCTATTTCAAAACCAAAATCACTTTCTATAATGCTTACAAATGCACAAGCAACTCTCTGAAAGCATATCAGATAAAGATGCAGTGTTAATTTAGAATTGGCCAATTGGCTTAAAATACTGCAATGTTTATGTCACATATTAAAAATAAATATTTTTGCATAAAGCACTGTGCATTTCAGTATACTGAAAAAGTACTTTTCCCCTTTCATTAAGATATTTAAATTACAAATTATTGTTCTCCTATATTTTACATAAACTGAGCAGAGTGGCTAAAATAAATTACACTCTAAAAGCTCAAGATTACGAAAGCACACCTTACTAACATTGCACATTATTTAAGGGGACAAAAATCTAATCAAAACTCCCAATGTCCACTTTTTACTTCATGGAATGTTTTGCAGAGGAATATTTGCATTGCTCAATTCTATGTTGATATTGAAAGACACTAATGTGCACCCATTTGGTAGTTTATACAGTATGTAAACTATTGTATGTATAAGGACCTGTTTTTTTCCCATTTCTTTATACAGATGAAAATGGCCAACAAGTGCTGTGCACCTGATGACCAGGTAAAAAAGAAATCTCTTTTAAATATGAATGTGTCTCATTAATACAGTAAATAGAATCCCTTGCTCGGTACAGGTTTTTCCTTTGATTTAAACAATGAGATTTAAAAATCTAATCAGGGGCTCACTAGTAACTCATTCCCTTGATTGCTTTGTTTGGATTGCAAGTTGATTACTGGAGGTCAAATGTTTCCATCATGGTTAGTTTCCTGGCTAGATTTCTTGGACATCAGTATTCAGCTGACTGCTAGTGTAGTTTAGAGTTTTGTCAGCAGGGAAAACCTGGGTACCTCATTGTAGTGTTGCAAATACAGATTTCTCTGTTTGGCAGTTAAGTTCTTGTTTATCTTTAGAACTGCAGCATAGAAAAAGAAATCTATGATTTGTGGATGTATGTCTCAGAAGTTGAGTGTACTGTATATAGTCTGTCTCTCACATTCCAGTGTGGGAGGCTTGCAGAAGCTATTTTGAGTTGTAAAAGGTAAAAGGCATTTCTTAAATAATTCACAAACTGTCAGGCTGTCCTTATCTGGCCTTATATATGTATAAAGATTTTTAACTGCACAACAATGTATTAGACATTGGATGTAAGTAAAAAAAATACCCAGTGATTATTTTGTCTTTATTTTGAAATATAATTTCAGTAATAACATACAGTATATATAAAATCAGATAATTGTGGATTTTATATAGTAATTATTTTATTTGAATTGCAAAATATAATTTCAATAATAACATAATTATATAATTATATGTATTTTATATATGTTACAAATTGAGGGTTACAAAAATGGTGAAAATCAAGATTTGACCAAGTTGTTCAGCCAATAAGTAAAATAGTTACTCATAACCCTCATAACTTTTAAATGCTTTTTCTAGAATATACAGTACCTTCTGGGACAGCTTTGGTGAAAGGAGTAGTAATCTAGGCACACTTAATTAAACAAATGTTTATTGACAATGACAAGACACAACACTACACACAACAAAACATACAACAGGCAAGTTGTCTACACTATTTACAAACAAGGCGTTTCAGAGGCCTAACATAATCTAATCACCCAGAAAACGTTAGAGTGCTCCTAAGCATTAAACTCTTAATGTCTACAGGGGCCACATAAGAGGTAATCTGCTTTTTAACTACAGTAAATGCAATACAAACTGCAGTTAAATCTGTCTCTCTGCACCCTGGATGCCACAAAATAAATGGGAGCTTTTATCCCTATTCTAGAAATGCATCCACAAGCAGGAAAGACATTTCAAACCAAAATATCTTTTACCCTGCAAACACAAGTTCCCTAAAAACACAGTATAGCAAGCTCTCTCTAACAAGGTTCAAATACTTAGCTCCAGTCAGGTTTTGTTCGGTTGATCATGAAGTAGGGGCTCTTGCCTGGCTTAAGCTTTGAGTTCCAACTGCTCTTTCTCCCCTCTCTCTCCATTGTTGTTTCTTGCTGTTCTCCTTCCTTGTTGTCTCTTTGTGCTTTTAAAGTCATTTTATATGATGTGTTTCTTTACTGCTCATTGACAATCATTAACCCACAACTTTACAATGGTTTCTGATCAATTGTGTTTTTGGACTGTGGGAGTAAATTGGAACACCTAGAGAAAGCCCCCACATCTAAACAAACATCCTCTCTGCTTTGAATCTAGAAGTGCTTACTCTGCCAAGTGTCAAAAACTTAATCTAAAATCTAGAAACACTTTTCAGTCAATAAACTCTAACAATTCTAAGGACCTGCAATGCCTTTCTGAAGACTGTAGGTTTTTTTGGTATTAATTGGTCTGGAGCAAAATGTGATCACATTTTATTTTACTCAGGTAAATGTAGGAAAATGGTAAATGTAGGAGTTTAATTCTAACAGGAGATAGCACTTGCTAGGGGAAGGGTGAGTGTAGTTTTCCCATTAAACACAATATAGTATTCTGATATTCTGATGACAAATTGTAATGAACTGTAATTCATTGAAAAAAAATACATTGAAAGAACTGTGACTCAATGGCCAAAATAAAAGAAAAAAACTAAAAATAAAAACGAATCCTCTATGCCTGGTACTGAATACTTCACTCAACTCCCCATTAGCTACATGTTTTGTATGCCTATTCAAGTAATAACTGCATAGTCAATGATAAAATAACTAGTCACAGCACATCCTTTGTGAGTTCAAAGGAAATTCCCTTGGATCTTTCAAAAAATAAATGGAAAGGTCTCTTAGATCAATAAAATACTACTTCTCGCAGAAGCAGATGGCCTATCTTATTTGCAATCATTCTTATGCAAATGTCATCCTTACCCTCTTGTGTATAGAGCCATATATATAATATATGTAATGTATTTTTAAAAATAAACCATAGAATACTACAATATACTGTACACAGGGAACTAGCGGTTGTGGTGGTAGAAGTTAACTGGAAGGTTATTCTCAGATAGGATAATTATATCATAAAAGCAATGGTTACTCTCCAGGCTATCATTGTACAGTAAATGAGATTAGAATTTGTTCTTGACAGACATATTAATTAGAATTTGTTGTCTTTTCAATTTGGTGTAATAACTTAATTTGATTAAATGGATGGTTTATTCATCCATCCATTTTCTAGCAGCTTGTTCCAATTCAGAATAACAGTAGAGCCAGAGCATATCACAGCAAGCAACAGGCATGAGGCAGGTAACACCCCAGAAGGGACGCCAGTCCATCATAGGGCAGACACACAGACAAAACTATTACCTATTTTCTCAGTAGCCAATATGTTTTTGGACTGTCGGAGTAAACTGCAACGACTAGAGTAAGCTCACTCAAACACTGGAAGAACATACACACTCTCCAGAAGTGATTGCTGTGAGGCAGCAATACTAACTACTGTGCCACCATGTCACCCATAATGGTTTAGTGTAAGAATAAATATAGTTGAACTATGTTGAATAACTAAAAGTATTGACCAACTTTGCAGAAATTAGGGCATACAGATTATACTACACTGTACAGACTTCATGCAAAGTTGTGAGTCTGCATGTACTGTAAGTTGATTTATTTAAACAGCTGCAACATGAAAAACAGTGTATGATAGAGTAATGGAAATTGGTACACATGCAAATGAAAACATTTAGAATATGTTCCAATGGACAACAAATGGAATCATTAGGACCAAATGTCAGTCCTACATGTTGCAATACAACTCATACAGTACATGTTAAAACAAACCAAATAGTGTTGCACTTGGCTAGTATATTGCCCACTAATATTATGATAATACATTATTGTAATATTGTTACAGTACTCTAGTTCAGGTAGGTAGCTGCGTCAGCAACTGCGTAAGCTGCAAAGGAACAAGTAATAGGTTTAATCCATGCTGGAAAGAGAAAAAAGAAAACAATGTTTCAGCTGTGGAGCTTTCTTCAAGTGTAAGAAAGATAGGGCAGTCAGGAGAGATAATATATCATGGGAAAACAAAAGCCAAGAGAGAGGAGGAGGCGGGAGGGGAGTGGACAATCAATTGGTGGAAGATTGAGAGAGGGGAGGAGAGGTGTGAAATGAAACCTACATATGAATAGAGAGAATTATTAATAGTAGTAGTAGTAGTAGTAATAGTAGTAGTAGTAGTAGTAGTAGTAGTAGTAGTAGTAGTTGTAGTAGATATAGTATACTATTTATTGTATACTGTAGTAGTAGATATATAGTAGTAATATACTATAGTAGAATATTGCTACTATATTAAAGATCATTTTCTTTGCCCTGGGAGCATAAAATATTTAAATAAACATTTAAAAATAACAATCCTTTTATTATGACAAGTATTATTTTGTGAGAATTTTCTTGTCATTATTTGAATGGTTTCTTTTGCAGATTGTTCACATGGGCTGGGTCTGTGAAAAGCTCCAAGGAAGTGATGCCTCACAACAATACAAGTTTAAGTTCCTGGCACTAAAAGGCTCTTTCCTATATATATTTAGCACCCCTCCGGTAAGTTCACTATGCCCTTGCAATCATTATCAGTCCAATTAGAAACACTGAAGAGAGTAAAGCACACATGAACATACAGTAGCATTGCTTTATATCAAAAGGTGTATATTAAAATGAGGCAAATTTTACATACAGATGCAGCCATGTAGAATGCACAAAGTGTAAGTTGGTATGCCATGGTAGGCACCACAGTATCACAGAGAGCAGCATGTCATAGCTTTTTATTATTCAAATAATGTGATATAGGACTTCACATCTCTGTAAAACTGCCAAGTGATGCAATCAATCCTTAAAGTAAGGCAGCCATGGCAATATATGCGGTTGTCAGACAAATCAGTACAGTATTAAATGTCTATCAACCTGTAAGTGCTTCCCTGCACTAATCATACTGTATGTACAGAATACTAGCCGCAAACTTAATAAAATTTCATTAAATACTCTACAATGATTACACTGCTGAGATAGGATGCTGCTACCACAACTCAGAATAAGATATTATACTGTTTGACACTTATACAGATGCAGCCATTCAAAATGCGCGGTAAAAACCCGCGGTACAGTAACCTACCCACAAGCCACCGCAGGG